CACAACAGACAGACAGACAGACAGACAGACAGACAGACAGACAGACAGACAGACAGACAGACAGACAGACAGACAGACAGACAGACAGACAGACAGACAGACAGACAGACAGACAGACAGACAGACAGACAGACAGACAGACAGACAGACAGACAGACAGACAGACAGACAGACAGACAGACACACACACACACACACACACACACCACACACACACACACACACACACACACACACACACACACACACACACACACACACACACATGTAGTTATCGATGAGAATCTGAATTGGAACACTAAATGGGTTTCGGACCAGTTGCACGGTTTTTGACTGAAATCAAAATTGTAAATACAAAATATATGAACACTTAACATAAGAAGTATTATAGTAGTATAAAACATAAAATAAACATATTTATATATATATATATAAGCGTGCACACTAGGGTTAAAATATTCAATACAGTGCCGTATTATGCACAGTTTAAGGATCATGCGCAGATCTCACACTCTGGTGCATACCCTAACCCATCCTCCACACTGTGCGACCATTATGGGCTGTTGGTCGCCATGGTAACCGTGTGTTATGAGAGCGGTGCAAAATATACGATATTTAAATGTTTTAGTTTCTTTTTTGTATGTCATGCATCATTAAGACTCGGCAGCTGATAGTGTTGTCCCCGTCCCATGTGATCTCCATCTCTCTAACGTCGTTACACTTCCTGTTTCTCCTCATAATCTCATCTGAGGAGAGGTCAGCCCGGATGCTTTCTGATGGTTATTTTCAAAGAAGTTGATGATTGTTTTTCAGGTTTCTGCTGCAGATAAAAATAACTGCACGTCTGAAAGAGTCTGTTCTGTTTCAGAGGGACTGGACTCTGAAGGGTCACAGGTCTTATTATGTTATCATTATAATGCATCACACAGCTTCCTTTCCTTTCTGTACCTCCTCGTGTGCTCTAATAACCTCTTCTTACCTGCTCCTTACTTTTCTATCTGTTCATGCTCATTTTACTCTCCACCACTCTTCCTCTTTCTATCATCCCTTTCCTCCAACACCTCCTTATTCTTTTGACTTCTATCCTCCTCTATATCTCCTTTTGTCCTCCCATATCGTTACGTCCTAAGTTCATTTCTTACTGCTTCTACATGCAACTCATTGGTTCCTTCATGACTTCCTTCTTGCCTTTCCACTTTTTCATTCCCTGATGTTTTGAACACACACTAAACATATGGCCAGGGGTCGGCAAGTAAGTTTGGCCTTGGGACAATTTCTTTCTGAGCCACTAGATGGTGGGCCAGAACATAATCAAAGGCCAGAGCCTCTAGCTAGACCTGCCCAAAGGGAGGCTCGTCCTCTCTAGCCCCATTTCAGTCCCATGTTAAAAGCCAGGGCTATTATCTGTATTTTAACAGACTTATCTTTGAAATTGCTTCTCGTTCTGCGCTGTCCCGTTCAAATGAAATCGCCGTCAATCACGTTGCCATGCTCGCGCCAGGGCCGGGGGAGGGGTTACAAGGCTCGCATTCCCTTGCACTCGGACATTAGGGATTTTCTCTCACAAATGTCCGATGAGCAAAAACTTTTCTTTCAAAACAAAGCTGCCAACTGGGGTGGCAGCATATGCACCGCAACCCCTCGCCCTCCATGATCAAGCGGCTTCTCCGATTTTGTTGTCAATGTTTTGATGTCCTAAGTAAACATTACGTTTGAATGATTTAGTGAGCTGGTGTTCTTTTTTTTAAGGCTATTTCAGCACCACGCGCTGTCCAGCTACTTATTGATCCACTATCAGTGTCTGTGCATCCCGCTGGGTCAGTGTATGTTTTGGTCATTGGATGTTCTTTTCACAAATGGATATTCAAAAACAAAAAACGACTGGATATTTGATTTTCGTTTTAAAATTGTAAAAAACAATATTGAAATACAAGGCGTTTTTCTTTATCATGGTCAAAAATGGATTTACTAAACTTAAATGATTTTCATTTTCTGCTTCTCAAAACAAAAAAAATAAAATCACTAGAAAACAGAAACAAAAACCCCCGTTTTTTCATATTCTGCTACCGGAAGTTGTCTTTCAAAATAAGAGCGCAGATGAGGACGGTCAATCCGTGTATCTACGGTCCATTTGGTTTCACAGCGAAAACATCTAAGACACATATTGAGCCCAGATAATGAATGTTATTAAGGGCTGTAAATATAATAGGCCTATGTCTAAAATGGACAACATTGTTTGGATATTTCAACTATACATCGATTCTGCACTGCTGTCAACTCATCCGTCTCTCCAGTTTGTTATTATTTTTTCTGCCAATAGTTCTTCGTGAGATCGATCCTTTTGCACTCAGTAGGCTAGTAGTGAAACTACTCCCATAACAAGTACTATGAAGTACTTACTGTGTACTTTTTGAGTAATCCTCTGTCAATGTCCCCTCCTGAGAACAAGAATGCATGTTTCTCTGCTATTTTGAGTATTTGAAGAGGATATGGTAGACTTGATATCAGCAATAGCCTACTTCCAGTCAGTACTCCGGCAGCAGCATTTTTACCCTCGGAAAGTCTTGCACGCTATTTAAATGGACTTTGATTGAAGTTAATAACAATATTGATATTCTATATACAGCATATTTGATGCAGTCTTTCTGAACAATTTTAAAATAAAATACTGCAAATGAAGAATATTTGTAATGTTCTGCACAGATAGCGC